TTGATTTTTGCTAGAGTGCTTGTCATGATTTTTCGGGGTTTTGTGGTTGCGACCCTAAAACTCTAATGCGCGGCTCGAGTTGGCTCAAATTGCGGATTCCACAGATTTGTGGACCAAGGTGTCCCGTAGTGTGGGAGGGCGGGGGGTGAAACACTTGCATGTATCCATGCCTGTTGCTCAAGGTTCTAGTGTAGTGGACTACAGCTGTGTGCCTGTAGCAAAAGAGACACCTGAGTGCCTGTGTTCCTGTACGCCTAGCGAGAGGATACACGTCCAGGTTACATCTCAGGGGGGGGGGGGGCCCCCTTCTTTCTTCAGATGAGGGGTTGGTTGCGGTCGTACTGCCGGCTGGGGGGCGGCCGGCCGATCAGTTGGTAGTAGTACTGGCCGGCCCTGGTGAGCTCGCCGTTCGGGCGGCTGAGCATCGCGTAGCGGAGGTGGTGGTGTGTCAAAGGAAGGGTTTCTGAGCCTGCCGCCGAGGTCCTCGCCCTGACCCCGGCCTCGGCTGCTAGTTTGATGGCTTGTCGTTGCTGAGCCCAGCTCATGGTGACTTGTTTGAACCACCCGCCCGGAAAAAAGGTCGTCCCCCGAGCGGGCGCCCCTTCGCCGGACGAGCTTTCCGGGCCGATTCTACCGCGTGGTTTGCGAAGACGCTGTTGATCACGTCCCGCTTCTCCTGGTAGCTCTTCGTCCAGTGCGTGCACCCGCCGAGCACTTGGTATATTCGTCTCCTCCAGTATCGGCGCAGCGGCCTCACGCACTCGCGCACCACTTGAATGGCCGTCCGCCCCAAAAGTTCGAACGACAGGTCCTCCAATTTCGGCCACCGGCGGCACCTCTTTTCCGCGACGGTCCGACTGCAAGCGAAGACGTCCTCCTCCATCAAATTCGCTGGCTTGGGCTTGGGCTGCGGCTTGGGCCGGGGGTTCACGAGGAACCGGTCCATGTTTTGAACAACCCGCCCGGAAAAAAGGTCGTCCCCCGAGCGGGCGCCCCTTCGCCGGACGAGTCTTGTTGTACAGTTGTTGGCTCAAGTCCCTCCCCGTTGTACAGCGGCTTGTACAGTTTTTGGCTCAACTCTTGTGTGCAGGTTCGGCTCAAGCCCTCCCTAAACCCTATACTCCCTAACCCCTAAACCTTATACGGCAGTTTTTTCGGTTTGCACGAGTTTTCTTTCATGTTTCACTGCTCTGGAGCGAGCAGGCCTAGTCACTGCTCTGCGGCGAGCAGGCCGTATCCTTAACCCTTAAGCCCTAGAGTTTCCTGCAAGTTTGGGGCCGGGCCCCCTTCCCAAGCCTAGTCTTGCTCATTGGCCCTCCTTCGCGAAGCACTTCCACACTTGAAACCCTGAACGTTGATTTTTGCATGTTTTGCTTGATTTTTGCATGATTTTTGGCGCGTTTTTGCTTGATTTTCGCATGTTGTGGGCATGTTGGATTTTAGAGTACTTGGGCCGCGCTCGCTCCCTCGAAGCATCAGTACATCAAGCAGCAGGCAACAGCAGCAGCAGGCAACACCAGTGGACACAAAAACGGCTACCACATCTTAGGAAGGCAGCACACGTCCTGACACAAGGAGGTAGTGTCCGACTGCTGGGCGCCACAGAGGCGTCGGGGTTTAGGGTTTTGGGGTTGGCAGGCAAGGGGCTCTGAGGCAGTGAGGTGTCAGTGCGGTAGGGGTCTCAGGAGTGCCCGGCGCCGCGCACCCCGGCCCTCCCCCCTCCCTTCTTCTCGCGCGGCCAGGATCTCGTCATCTTCGCTGCAAGCCGGGCGCTGCAGAGGCTTCAGGGTTTAGGGGTTCGAGTTGCAGGCAAGGGGCTCCGAGGCAGCGAGGTTTGTGTCAGGAGTGCCCTGTGTTGCTCCCCCCCCTCACCTCTCCCGTAATCTAGAGTGTTGTGCGCCTCCCCTCCCATCCCGGGAACCCCGGGCCCCTCTCCTGCGACCAGGTGCGCTTCGTGACCTTCGGCTTCTTCGACAGCTTCCAGCAGAGGTGGGGTTAGTTTGTTGAGCGCTTTGAGGTGTTGTTTGTGCGGTTGTGCGGTCTAGGAGGACGCAGGAGGGCATGTGAACTCAGGTGGCGGGGCGCAGGAGGGCATGTGAACTCACAGGTGGCGGGGCGCAGGAGAGCATGTGAACCCAGGTGGCGGGGCGCAGGAGGGCATGTGAACCCAGGTGGCGGGGGCGCAGGAGGGCATGTGAGGAGGGCATGTGAACCCAGGTGGCAGGGCGCAGGAGGGCATGTGAACTCAGGTGGCGGGGCGCAGGAGGGCATGTGAACTCAGGTGGCGGGGCGCAGGAGGGCATGTGAACTCAGGTGCGGGGCGCAGGAGGGCATGTGAACTCAGGACTGCCTGGAATTGAGGCCCAGTCTAGACCTGCCTGGAATTGAGGCGCAGTTAGAGACGGGGTTGGGGGTTCACATGGGTCCCTGCTGGGGGAGGGCGCGGGTTCACATGGGTCCCTGCTGGGGGAGGGTGCGGGTTCACATGGGTCCCTGCTGGGGAGGGTGCGGGTTCACATGGGTCCCTGCTGGTGCGGAGGGTGCGGGTTCACACCCTGCTGGGGGAGGGTGCGGGTTCACATGGGTCCCTGCTGGGGGAGGGTGCGGGTTCACATGGGTCCCTGCTGGGGGAGGGTGCGGGTTCACATGGGTCCCTGCTGGGGGGCTGGGGGAGGTGCGGGTTCACAGGGTCTGCTGAGGGAGGGTGCGGGTTCACATGGGTCCCTGCTAAGGGAGTGGGTGAGGGTGGGGGTTGACATGCTGGGGGAGGGTGGGGGTTCACATGCGTCCCTGCTGGGGAGGGTGGGGGTTCACATGGGTCCCTGCTGGGGGAGGGTGGGGTTTCACATGCGGTCCTGTCGGGTTTGGCGGAGCGGTGGGTTTCACATGGGGTCCTGGCGGGGCGGTTGGGGGTTTCACATGCGGTTGGGTTGGGGCTTCATGTGGGGCTTTTGTCGGGCGGTTGGGGTGGGGCTTTTGTCGGGTGGTTGGGGATTTGCTTGAGTTTGCCGTGACCCTTGAACCCCCGTCTCCGTGACCCCGAAATCCTCAACCCGGAAGCTGAAGCTCTAAACCCCAAGCCCAACAGCAAGCTGGAGGGATGAACCAGCAGTCAAGCTGAAACAGGTAGAGCTCGACCATTCGTTCATGCAGATTGCAGTGCTTTTGCTCGAGCAAGAGGACAGCTAGGACCATTGCCGCCATGAGCAGGCCTCCAGCAAC